GAGCTAAGGCGAGAAACTCGAATTACCAATCTGTTTGATGGCTCGCAATACGAAAACAGAGAGTACAGCAGAGGTTCAAATACTTAACGACGATAACTGCGTTTATATCATGATCACTTAAATCCAATGCTTCCGTTAGGTTCTATGTCGATGACTGTTTCCTAAACCTGATCAAACTTAGAGATTCTTTTGCCTAGCCCTTCGAATCTTGCTGATCATTAGAGCTGTACAAAAGAGCCTGAGAACTTCCTATACTGATTCAAATGAATTTTTACAGAAAGGTCATACTCGAAGGATGAGAAAAAAGGAAATAGAAAATGGAAAAGAAAAGGAAAAGAAACACTAGAAGGGCTAGACATTCATGGAATCTACACCATAATCTGTGTTGATTGTGACACTTACTCGTATAAACTTAATTCTTTTATTATTATATTATGCATAACTCTTCGAAACATCAAAATAAAAAGTAGCAAGATCAGAGGATCAACGGTAAGGCTTTGACGTGAACATGATACTGCATCTATAGGAAAAACTTCAATCTTAAGTGCATGGTTTGCCTTTCCAAGCGACAAATACCTGAAATCATATGAAGGAGGGTCCGTCAAAAATCAGGGTATAGGTAGAAGTTGACGTAATGAGGGCTTCATCACAAACCTGTCCATCAACTGGCATGACGCTTACGTCGGGTATGTAGCACAGGACATAATCGATCCACTCCGGTGATAATGGTTCACTCAGGGATGCCATGATATTATCCAACTAAAATAAAAGAAATCTTATAAATAGCCTTAGAAGATGAACATTATGAAAGGAAAAAGGCGATATCGCGATTTGAGTCACAAAACAAATTCGATTTTAATCAAAAATCGCAGAATTTAAGCAGGCACAGGTATCTAGCCAGGGTTTTGACACTCGACCCGAATCACATGTCAAGATGTTTCGGAGCTTGTCACTGGCCCACCGCTACCGCCAACTTCATTACATATATTAAAATCCACTATTAACGCAAAAATTCTGCAAAAAAACCGCAAAATTCGGGTTCCTGTGATGGAACTCCCTCCCAACACGTCTAGAGGCACATATTCCATATATAGAAAAGGGACTTCTAAAGTTGTTCTTCGCTACCATCATCGGAACAGAACTTTAATCTCATGGAAACAATGGACAGCTGAAATCATAATAGAAGTGTTTAGAAAAGTCACCTACCCTCGGAATTATTCCACGACGTTCATGGCTTTCAAAAACTTCTTGACGAATGCGAGTGAGATATCTAATGGCTTCCCCATTGATGTCAGGAAACTTGAGGTCATCCTAAATAGTTATGATTATCAAAAATGAATAAAGCATATCTGCTAAAAGAAACTAATACTGTTGGCCTGAAAGCGAGGAAATCACAGTTCTGTAATGCCCATTCCTCGGGTGTTTTCTCGAGCCCTTGGTACTCGTATCAAATCCTTCAATTTTGCATATATAAATGCTTCTGAGCGCATTGGTTCCTGCGTATAGGTCTTATGAAATTCCCACCCTTTTTTTACTTCTTAGTATTCCCTGCTCGGTTGCGTACTCGCATCTGTTTGTGTCCGCATTTGTTGGAAACAATTCTGTAATACACTTTCT